AAAAAAAAAAAAAATTTTCAGAAAAGCAAAATTTTAGCAGTAAGGACATTCAAATTGGTTGATATGTATGCCAATTTTAACTTCCAAAAGAATTCATCACAAATGGGATATTCTAACACAATGCTCATTGTAGACTTGGTTATATATCCATGTATAATTAACAGTACTTCTGATAATCTATTTTCAAGTGGAAAATGTATATAGTCATAACTTTCCATTTTTTTAAACCATATTATCCACCACTAGAATTCAAGCTTTCAATATTCTTAATTTGAAAACTTAATAAAAATCAAAGATCCATAAATTTTTCTTAACAGCTTCATATTTCATAATTTTTTAGACTCTCAAGACACTCGATATAATTTTAAGAAGCACAATTCATGTATCTTTAGTATCAAGATTTGTTTTAAAGAAAAAAAAATCTTGTTTTAAGAAAAGAAACTGTGTCTTATTCCTTCCAAAAAGACAACAAATTTCAGAATATAATTAGATTTTTGAAAACTAAACCACAGGAAGACTTTAAATACTGTATTCATTAAAACACAACATTGTATACATGTACTAGGCACTATACTAAGCTCTAAGAGCAAAGGGGCAAGATCATTCCCTAAAAATGCATTTCATCAAGTTGCCCACAGTGGAAACATTGTTTCTTCCCTCACCTCCCACCAATCTAATTGATTCTAACTCTGAAACATAAATCATTCCCTACCTCTCTAGTCCCACTGTCGCAGCCCTACTTCAAGATTTCAGTATCTTTCACCTGGACTACTTACTGTTAACAGTTTCCTAGCTGGGCTTACTGACTCTGGTCTTTCCCTATTCCAATCTAGCCCCAACTGTGACAACCAAAAATGTCTCCACCAACTGCCAAATATCCCCTGTGGGTCAAAGCTGTCTTGACCAAGAACCACTGTTTCAAGCTGATCCTGTAACAAGAATGGCACTTATTTGGTAGGGCTGTGGCCATGATCTGTGTTCAGGGGATAGAAAGCAAAGAGCTGACCAACGTAAGGTTAAAACTGAAAACCTTGATCTTAGGATCACCATGCTTAAATCAAATAAGCTGATGCCTCATAAAAAGCCATAATACTCTCTTCTAAACTCCTTTGAACATAAGAACTTAATCATCTTACTTCTAGCCTGAATTCTGAAAAATCAGTATCTTCTCTCAAAGTTTAACCACCCTATATTATACATATAAGTTGCTGGCAATTTTTAAAAACTTAAAAAGAACTTTTGTATTTAAATCAGTCACGAAAATAGGAACCTTCCTAGGCAAATTATTACCTACATTTAAGTTTGCATATTCCTTTTTTTTTTTTTAGAGACAGGGGTCTCCCTCTGTTATCCTGGCTGGAGTGGAGCAGCAGCACCATCATAGCTCACTGCAACCTCGAACTCCTGGTCTTAAGTGATCCTCCCACCTCGGCCTCCCAGAATACCAGGATTACAGATGCAAACTACCAGGCTCAGCCTTAAATTTGCAACCTACTTTGAACAGCTATTCTCATTAAATATTTCCAGAAAAAAAAAAAAACTTTAAAAACACAAGAATACTTACGCTTGAAAACTAAAAAAGAAGAAAAAAAAATCACACTTCTTTTTAATTTCCCATAACGGGTATGTCTGTCCCTACAGAACTTATTCAAAGATGTATTCAAGATAGAACAATACTTTTCAGAGGAGGTAAGGGAGGAGACAGTAAGCTATCTAAAAAACTTAGTAGGTGAACTGTAAAGGTCAGGCCGATCAGTGCAGTAATACTACAGGAGAAAGCACTCAGATGTCTGTGGAAGGAGCCAAAGACATCTGAGTGAGAACAATCTGTCCAGATGCTTACCTTCAGTCGTTTGATCATTTCGTCGGTGGTGATCTTGTCGGTGATCTCCTTAACCCCCGGAGGGTAAGCGATCTTCCCGTCCGCACTCACGACGCCACAGAGGGCAGTGGCAGGCTTGGGCTGCGCGGTGAAGTCCATCCTGGGGGACAACTTTTCTTTCACAGTCCTCTACCGGCCTCTATCGGTCAGAAAACCAAAGTTCAGCGGGAAAGGGGCGACTTTGTAACCTCTTTTTTCGTTTCAAGTATCTCTAATCTGGAAAGGGCCCGTTCTCCCCAGAGGCCAGGGACCCAGCAGCGGCCCCGCCACCCGCTCCTTCCCGAGGCTCGGACCCCGCCGGCCGCCCCCGCCGGCGCCAGCCCTGCCAGCCCTGGGCTCTCGGGGCTCCCCGGCACCAGCGCCGCGGCCGTGGCAGGCGGCGAGCAGCTCCAGGAGTTTCCCTTTCCACCTTTCACAATGAAATCCACCCCCCAGCACCAAGGTCCCAAGTTTGGCGGCTTCGGGAGGCCAGCAAGGACCTAAAGGCCCCCGCTGGGCCAGAGAGAAGCGCCGCGTCCCCATCCGGCCAGTCCCCTTTGGGAAAGCAAACGCGAGGCCTATAGGGCTCAGCCTAGGCCGCAAAACTAGGGACCTAACCGGACCCACACGCAGCGGCGGCTCCCGGGAACAAAACGCCCTTCCCCAGCAGAGCTTCAGGACCCCGGGCAGTCCCCGCCGCGCTCCTGCCCCTCCCCTGTTCCGCTCCCTCGCCCCCGCGGGAGGGGAAAACAAACCGCCCTCCACCCGCAACCCCACGCCAGGAAGCGGCTGACGCGGCTCCGCACTTCACATTTTGTTCCTTCAACTTCGGCGGAGGGGCCCAGCGGCTTCTCTTGCCCCCGGCCACTTGGCGCCGCCCGGAACCGCCGAGGCCTTACCGGCACCTCCGGGCAGCCCCGCCGGGCCTCGGACTCGCCCCCCCCACCCGCGCTTAGGTCTCCCCTTCCGTCCCCTCCCTCCACCAGCCGAGGGCGGGAGCCGAGCCGCCGCCGCCTTTACCTCCTCCTCATGCGGGCGGAAGGTGCATCGAGCGCCCGGGCCTCTGTCAGGTGGTTGCGCCGCCGCCCCTCGTCGGGCTGCACACAAAGCGGCTCCGCGGGTCCCGCCGCCGCCCGCCCGCCCGCCCGGGAGCGGCGCTGGGGCTGGCGGCGCCGAGGAGGAGCAGCCGCCGCGGGGGGAGACACGGGGCGAGTGTGCGCTGGGCGGGGAGACAGTGCCGCTCTCCGTCTGGCCGAGGAAGAGCAGCCTCGGAGAAGGCTCCTCGGGGAGCGTGTGCGCGTGTGTCCGCCCGGGCCCCCCGCAGCCCGCCAGCACCTCGCGCCGGCCGGGGCAGTAGACCCGGACCCGAGGCCCCTACCAGCGGAGCGCGCCCGGCCGTCCGTGCCCCTGGGAGCCGGCGCCCCGCGCACACCCCGGCCGGTCACGCGAGCGGCGCGAGAGCACGCGAGAGCAGCGCGCGCGCCTCGCTCCCTCCCCTTCCTCCGCCGGCCGTGCCTCCGCCTCCCTCGGGCCCGAGGCGGCCGCGCGCGGGGCGGACAGCGCCGCCACCCGGTTGGCGCCAAGATCTGCCGCGCTGGGCGTCTCCGAGAAACCAGACCCAAGAGGGCGAGCGGAGGAGGAGCCGGGTGGCGGGAAGCGAGCCCTGGTTCCCGCGGCCCTGCGAGGGCACTCAGGGCAAGCAGAGCTTCATCTTTCGCCGCGGAGATGAGTTCATGACTTTTGGGGGTGAGCCTGAGGGACGTGGACGGAACTGGTCGAAAGGTGGTTAATTACTCGATGAAAATGAACTGATTTCCTCCCCAGGGACAGATCTGCAAACTGAAGCAAAGTTTTGCCACATGGCACAACGTGGGCGGCTCATTCTTGCGTCTATGACAGCCACCCTTTGATTTCTAAAGTTAATATTTTGAAAGCTGCAAAATATGAAAATAGCATTGAGTCGAGTACTTCTCAAGGTATGGTCTTTGGTCCACTGGCCTCACAATCATTTTGAGTTTCCATCCTTAAGGCTACATACAGAATCAGGATTTCTGAGAGGGGAACCCAGAAATAAGCATTTGCAAATTAGGTAGTGGTTTTTGTGAATATGGAAGATCTCTCTCTCTCTCTCTCTCTCTCTCTCTTTCTCTCTTTTTTAATGTTTTAAATATACCAGGGATTAACTTCTTCTACCCAAAGTAAAACAACTGTCAAGGAAAACAGTGCAGCAGGGTTTGAGCAATTTAACGTAAATAATTGAAACTAATAAACCTCAAAAGCACACACGTAATTTCAGAAGATGAAGTCGAGAAAAGGATACAATAACATGAAATAGCATTCAGCTCTTGAAACTGACCACTACCATAGTTTAAAATGATATTCAATTGTTTATTTAAATTATTCTTTTTCTAAATGTCACCCTCCCGTGTGGATATTTAAATTATTCTTTGTGAATAACCACTGGTCTATTTTTCCCCCATATCTTTTCACTCAATCTTAAAAATAGTAAAGGTTCTGCAAGTCACTGACTTGTTTTTGAGGTATTACACAAGGGAGCAGTCATTTTGGAATCTTAACAATCCACAGTTACTGATTTGCTAGAACTCTGCCCAAAGGTGTGTGCTTTGCTCTTGGGCATTTAGACCATCAGGCAGAATCCGTTTGTGATTGTCCTCATGCAAACTGTTGTCAACCACAAGCTACTCTCTTTTAGGCTCTTTCACTTGGTGTTTCTTTCTCTGTTACAGTTAAATAACTACAGAGTGATACTTTTCTTTTTCATTCTTACCCTCAGTAACTTACCTATTAGTAAATGGAGTTTTGTGCACACCCATAAATTTTAACTTGATACAATTATTACTTTGTTAAGATTGTGTAACTTAGTAAACACTCAAAATATAGTAAGACTTGAGGATTATAACACATAAATAAATTGAATTTATATAATATCCTGTAGGATTCCTGTTTTTACTTCTTTTCTTGAACATTTGTTTCTGCATACAATACCTAAGAAGAGACACATTCATTTGTGTGACAATTATTTAAAGAGGGCCTACTATGCAAGGCATCATTTTGGGCACAGAGGATAAAAAAGCTTGGTAGAGGGGAGGGGAACAAAAATTCCTGCCTGCCCTTCTGATGCAGCTTAATTTGGGGAGAGATAGACCACAATAACAATAATAAATACATATAAAAATAAAGTACGGAAGAGGGGTACACATCATGTCTATCCTTTAAGGCCCCTGGGAGGACTTTGGCTATACTCTGACTGAGATGGGGATTTTGGACTTTTTTAAAGCAAGGAAATGATATAATTTATGTCCTATGAGCTAGGCATCCTTGGACAAATTAATTAATCTTTCCATGCCTCATTTTCTTCATCTGTAAAATGGAGATAATAATAGTATCTACCTCAGAGAATCATAATGAGGAATCAATAACTTAATATATGTAAAGCGGCTAGAATAGTAACTGGCAAATACTAAGCTCTACATAATTTTTTTTTTTTTTTTTGCATAAAACAAAAGAATCATTCTAGCTGCTGGGTTGAGAATAACATTAGAGGCTAGGCGCTGTGGCTCATGCCTGTAATCCTAGCACTCTGGGAGGCTAAGGCAGTAGGATCACTTGAGGTCAGGAGTTTGAGACCAGCCTGAGCAAGAGGAAGACCCTGTCTCTACTAAAAAACAAATAGACACGCCTGTAATCCTAGCTCTCTGGGAGGCCGAGGCTGGCGGATTGTTTGAGCTCAGGAGTTCGAAACCAGCCTGAGCAAGAGCGAGACCCTGTCTCTACTAAAAATAGAAAGAAATTAAT